CACTAGAACAATTATACCTGAGTAGTGAGTTCGAGCCTCACTGAGCGCCCCCTACTTTCGGCCTTGTGCCACATCTAAGCTACGCTTGAAAAATCACTATTGATTTGGGGACGTTTTTACTAGTCTTGGTAGTTAGACGTTAGATTCTTTAAGAATGGATTTATTAAATGTTGTTTCCAGCCAGATCCATTTTATTCACCTACATGCTAATACGCTTGGGAAAGGTATGAATCTTCTTCTCCTATCAGTTATGGGTAAATAGCAGGACAGACCTCTATAACCTTGGATGGCAACTAGTCTACCGCAGAAAGAAATGGCAACCTACTGCGGGAAAAAAATCTGCCTCGTCATGTATCGAAAGATACATAATCGCCTAAGCGTGTATCCCGCATGGCACATTACTGAACTAATATAATATAGTGTTTTTGTTTACGTGTGTTTATAATTGGAAAGTTAAATAAACGTTTCATTTGATAGTGATTATCGAAATGAAAGAAAGATTTACCATAAAGTAGAAAATAAAAACGCTTACAAAAGAGATGTTAGTGTTTCAAAATGTAAGTGATTTTAAGTACCGTACTAATAAACGCGTCTCGAGTAACAATAATCGTCTACAAAGTAACATCCGGGTGCAAGTTTCAATTGGGTGGGTACCGTTAGCTTAGGTGGATAGCGGGGGTAATAAATTAGAATGCAAAGAAGAAAGAATAAAAACATTCTTGTCTTACTCAACGATCGTTGAAAATGGAAAAAAAGTCTTTATTAAATCGTAAACATGAATAGGAAGACATACAGTGACGTTTAACTGAATTTCCTCTATGATGAAGCTAAAATCGTTAAAGAACAGAGTGTTAGCAATATGGATGAATGATTAATGAAAACGGGGTATAGGTCCGCAAACAAACATATAAACACTCAACGTTTATCTAAATATTTGTACATTTGCTTATCACCGAAAGACGTAGATAAAAATTAAAGCTGAAAATATGCGAACACACAACTCTATTTTGCAAGCTCCCTTTTCACAGACGAGACGTCGCCAGCCTTTTGCTGTTCTACCGCTATTTCCAAGAGGAGTGTGTCGGAGTTAACTCCTCCTTAAATTCCAAGTTGTCCACAAGGGGTCGCTCTTCCTACGCTATAAATACTGGGCGAGATTCTTGCCTCGTTCTCTTTCTACTTTGCATTTCAGCGGAAGCATTTAAAAAAGTAATCTCTCGCAGAGATCTGCGTTTTGCCCACTTGTGGGGAAAACGTCATGAAACACACACACACACACACACACATACGCGTACGTACGAACATTCACCAAAATACAAACTCTTTCGTTCACACACAAATGCTGATGTCTTTGTCCATTGTAAATTTGGTTGTTTTATACATATATTTGTTGATATATATATATATATATATATATATATATATATATATATATATATATATATATATAGTGAAATTCCCAGATAATTCTGTGGACAAGACAGATTGGTATCAAATGACAATTGAAAAAAAACATACATTTGCCGACGCGTTTCGTCTTCCGACTTTTTCAAAATAAGAATCCCTTAATATAAATATATATATATATCGGTGTTTTATTTACATCTTCGGTCAGAATCAACTTGAGTTCACCATATTCTTGTAGTTGGATTTTCTTCTAGCAGAAATAAACGCACGTGTTCCTAATTTAACAACATATAAACGCCGTTACAAGTTTTCAGTTGAGCTACAATTCTTAGTTCACCAGACCTAGCCTTCACGGCTAAGTCCCGACATGTCACGATCATTGTAGCGAACGACCCTTATTCGCTTGTTCACTCGAGCAGCTTTTTCCCACGAACCACTCCCTTGTGGAACCAACTCCCAAGAGGCTGCTTCCCTGATCATTACAATCTTAACCAGTTCAATCTAGTGTCAACCGTTATCTTCCGCACATATCCGCGTAAGCTGTGCCTCTTACGCTGTAACCCTCTATCTTGAGTAGCCACATGGCCTTCTACAGGGTAAACACTACTGTAAAAAATAATAATAATAATAAACACGAAGAACCTGTAAAAAATTCAAGATTAGTAAATGACTGGAGACAATCCAGTCACCTATATTCTTGAAATTAACAGGAAAAATGCTAGAGATTTGAGTGATGATATTATTTGATCCTTAGTAATTGATACCAAATTCAATGGTGGCTAGATAAATAATAATAATAATAATAATAATAATAATAATAATAAAATGGTGATGATAGTGTGGGCTAATTTCTACACGGGAAAATATGCAACTTTTAAAGGAAGGAAACTGCAAGAAACTAGTATGAAGATCGCCCAGACCCGGTTACAGAGTTAAGACGTGTAACAATTTCACAGGACTTGACAATACATACAGGCAGAACAATGAAAGCTAATTGCCCAGACATCGTGATCAAAAACTGCAAAAACAGAATGTGCTTTCTTATTGACATGGCAGTCTCTGCAAATTGTATCTTTGAAGAGCTTCAAAAACCATCAAAATACAAAGATCTTAAAGTGGAAATATCAAAAATGTGACACATGAGGACATCAATAATTCCAGTTGCAGTTAGAGCCCTCAGATTGATTAGAAAAGGTTCGATATCCTCATTGAAAGGATAAATTGTAGCCCATGCCTTAAAGAAAAAAGATTGTTCAAGTATAGTTTGCACATTACGTAGAGCTTTATCTCTGTATATGTGTGATCTTATATTTTTTGTTTTTTTGTTTTACAAACATGTTCAATGGATAATGTCATGAAGCTATTTCTGACCTTAGACCTCTTGTGGGAATCCGGAAGTAAATGTTGTAGAAAACAGAAACCAAAGGAAATAATAATAATAATAATAATAATAATAATAATAATAAAAGGATGCTCGAGAGGTTCATATGCAAAGATCAACTACTGATAAACAAAATGATCCTGGAAAATTGCAGGAGACGATATAGAAATCTTAGCGCAGCGTGGATTAATTATTGTAAAGCCTTTGATAGTGTGCCAGACTCTTGGATCATTAAGACTTTGGAAATGTACAAAGTTTCCCTTGTGGTAGTAAATTTCCTTAAGCACAGCATGGGAATGTGGAAAACCACACTATACCTAAATCACACCAGAGACACTGCCATCTCCAATCGTCTGAATATCCGACGCGGAATCTTTCAAGGACACTCCCTCCCACCCCTTCTCTTTTTTTGTCCTTAATCCCCCTTACGTATGAACTAAACAACAATAGCTACGGTTACAAATTAGACAAAAAATATTCAATCACCTCCTCTACATGGATGATCTCAAACTCTTTGCCAAAAACGAAAATGAGTTGAAGGGCCTCCTTAAAATTGTAAAATGTTTCAGTGACGACATAGGTATAGACTTCGGATTAGATAAACGTGCAAAAGTAACATTCAAGAAAGGGAGAGTTATTGAAACACCCTTAATAGATTTAGACTTTGTCACAAAGATTAGGGAACTGGAACAAAATGAAGCCTATAAGTACCTAGGAATTAGCGAAGTTGGTATACAACATACCCAAAAGAAGGAGAAGTTAAGAAAGGAGTACTAAATTTGCTTTGCGTTTGCGTTTGCTACTAAATACCGAGATGAACTAAAAAAATAGAATATCAGCTATAAATACTTTGGCTGTTCCTGTGGTGCAATACAGTTTTAACATCCTTGAACCATAGCTGACAGTAAGCGAATGGACGCCAAAACCAGAAAGCTTCTCAGTTGCTACGACATGCATCATCCCAAAGCTGATGTTGATCGTCTGAATGTGCCCAGATCCGAAGGAGGCAGAGGATTAGTTCATCTAGAACTGTTCTACAAAGCTACAACAATTGGTCTTCAAAGATGCCTGGAAACTACAGAAGACTGGATAATGATATGTGTCAAAGAAAATGCTAGCAGTAAGCGTCTTTAGTCCGTAATTAAAAAAAAGGCAACAGGTTCAAAATGCACAATACACAATGCAACCGACCAGATACAGACCCAATGACAAAATAAACCGCTTTATGGCCAATATTCTGCTCGTACCAAATAAGCTGGTGTAGACAAGCATCGTACCTATCAGTGGCTACGTAGTGCAGGATTAAAAGCTGAAACGGAAGCGTTTATACTTGCTGCACAGGATCAGTGCTTGTTAACTAGAAATTATTAAGAGCACATGCTAAAATATTGTGTTATACCAAAATGCAGGTTCTGAGGTAAATATCCAGAAACGATTGATCAGCTTGTATCAGGCTTCACAGTATTGGCACCCACTGAATATAAAACCTGGCATGACAGAGTGGGCCAATATCTGCACTGGAAAATCTGCAACTTCTACGGGAAGGAAAACTGAAAGAAATTTGTATGAACACCACCCAGAACCGGTTACGGAGATAGGATCTGTTAGAATTTTATGGGACTACACAATACACACAGACAGAACAATCAAAGCTAACCACCCAGACATTGTTATTAGAAACCGCAAACAAAACAAGTGCCTCCTTATTGATATGGCAGTCCCTACGGCCTGTAATGTTTCTTTGAAGATCTTCAAAAAGCTGTCAAAATACAAGAACCTTGAAATCGAAATTTCAAAAATGTGGCACATGGAATCATCAACAATCCCTGTTGTAGCTGGAGCCCTCGGATTGGTTGGAAAAGTTTCCAGTAGACTAATTGATGGGATTCCTGGAAGCCCATGCCTTAAAGAAATACATAAAAAGGTTCTCACGAGTACAGCCCAAACTTTACGAAGTGCTTTTTCTATGTAAAATATGTTTTTTTTATCAGTGGAAAATGTCATGATGCCATTTCTAACCTTAGGTTTCTGGGCGGTATCCGGAAAGAAATGTGCACACACCAGAAATCAAAGGAAATAATAATAATAATAATAATAATAATAATAATAATTGGACAGTTGGCATAAATGATGAGGCACGTTAAAAAAACAAAAACAAAAAAAAACACTTTAAGTAAAGTAGGTAAAAAGAAACAAAAAAGATAAATATGTAAAAACATCGATTCCCGAAAGATCACCGAAGTTAAGCAACGTCGAACCTGGTCAGTACCCAGATGGGTGACCGCTTGACAGTACCAGGTGTTGTAGGTTTGGATTAGGCGGGTGGTGTAATGGATAATGGCTCGGAATTTTAATCGGAGAGCCGAGTTTCAATCCCAGTTGGGTTCGTTATATTCAATTACGCGTAATTATCATTGAAAAAGATACGAATCCACCTCTTCTCTACCAGTTATTAATTAGTAAGACTTGTATTACTAAAACCATTATTATCTAAAAAAAAATGCGTGCAAAATATTTAGATTAAATAACCCATAGAAAGTGATATGGCGCTAAACAATTAAAAAATCAACCGATCTCAGAAGCAAACATGCAAAACAAATAAAAAAATTATAAAAAAAGGTGGAGAGACATGATCGCCTTCGTCCTGTAAAAAAACGCAAAAAACATGATAGAGAAAAGAAATATATATAAAGATATAAAAATAAAATAAAAAATGGAAAAAAATAAACACACACATAGACACATGCACGCATACACACACAAACATACACACATATGAGAAATTAAATTCAAAAGAAACAGTAAATTGAATTTTAAAAGAATAAAAATAAAAGCCAATAGGTGACACCAAGAAAACGCTAAATACTACTGGAAATCTTACATTCCACGAAGACCTGTTTGTGGCTTTTTCTTTTAGAACGGAACACGTTGTTGCCGCTTTTTCAAATTCCTTTATTGTTTGCTTTTCTTGATGTCTGTATTGTTCTCACTATTTGGACGACTTGCCAAAGATGGTCGGTTTATTTCTAAAACAGAACGCTCAAACGCTGTCGCTACTTGAGTGCTTATATGCTTCCGTTGATAAAAGCAGCCTTAGGCAAGTCTAAGTCTTCGAGCGCAGTTCAATGAACGAATCAACGTCGCCTCAGCTTCCCCATCTTAGCTGACGGCGGGTCAATCAGAGAACAAAGAAGAAATGATAACTGTAAAAAATAAATAGAAAAAGACGAAAGTGTAAAAATAATCTTGGCTTGTTCCTCCAGAATTTACTGTTTGCTCAACAGTGATGTATTCATTCTTTGCTATTTAAAATCTCACCGTGGCTACAAATGCAGATTTGCTATTTAAAATCTCAGTATGGCTATAAATGCAAATTTGTTATCGGAAATTCTTATTGATATTGATGAGTTTGCGAAACGTTGATTTTTGATGTTCTTCAAGTTTCACATTTTCACACATCTGCATAAATACTCGTAAAGGCACGTATATTATGGTAAAATTTCTCACCCTATTGCAGGCGGAGTAGGACATACATAGACATAATTGTCCAAGTCACGTACGCATGCGCGTACATGCATACACAAATACACCGTGTGTAATGTTAACATAGAAAAGTGATTGGTATCTAAGAAAACACATTTAGCAGACCATAAATGGAAATCGATCTAACGTAATATAACGAAACATGCGTTTCATTTCTATTCAGACGTACCGACAGCAGGAAATGAAAATATGATAATAGTAATCGTAATTCTTGCAACCGAGAACTGAGGAAACGGAAGCGCCATTTCAGCCATTGTTCAGGACACGGAGGTAGCGTTTTGGCCATATTGTTATGTGTGAATAAAAAGCAGGTGTATCACTTCTGCCAGCAGAGAAATAACCAGTCTGTGTTGTTACTCTCACGGACACACCAAGTTGTGACAGTAATATTACCTGTTTTTGTATAAGGAAAACATTCGACATTCATTGACAGAGCAACCAGTGATACTCGACGCCCGCTTTTCTTCACTTTCTGACCATCTAGCTGGGATCAAAGTATAGTATATGTTTTCTTCATCTCTAATGGTAATATTATCCGTGTCCTTATAAGGAAAACATTCGACATTCATTGACAGTGCAACCAGTGATACTCGATCCGCTTTTCTTCATTTTTTGACGATCAAGCTGAGATCAAAGTATAGTATCTGTTCTCTTCATCTTTAATGGTAATATTATCCGTGTCCTTATAAGGAAACATTCGACAGGAAAACGGTAAACAAGATCTAATATAATTTTCAATATTCTGGCATTTACGTACTTGTTAAACTTGCATTCTCGGCCGAATACTGAATTATATAGAATTTAATCCGATCCTCCTATTGTATGGACATGTTTGTATATAACCCTTGCTTTTCCCGTACACGTCTCCTGGGCCCTGTTGACCTAGTCTCACTTTTTGTTGACGTACAGCTACTCAGTTCGGACATCGTTTGTTCCGTTATCTCAATCCTTGCACGGCTATTGGATAAGGAGAGTTATACAGCTTCCCAACTGGTTTAGGAATTGGTGCCATTATAAGTCGTCCATCGTCCGGTCTTGGTCCTTCAAGTCTTGTGATTCTTACTGATGAAGAAAGTTGTCTTTCTTCTTTTAATCAATAAGCCGTAGTAAACTTCTTGTTTACGATTAGGCTGACTGGAAATAAAGAAAAGCTCTCACCGAAGAAATAATAATGCCAATTTTGGTTAAATATAGACGATTTAATGAAGGTAAATAAAATAATACACAAGCGAATATATTTGGCATCTATTGACACAAAAAGAAGGCGACGATTTGGACTCTCGATCTGTGTGTTCAGCAAGGTTCAGTCAGTAATTCAAGCGAATTTTGGGCCCTTTCTTTCTGTGGGTGTGCAACTATGTGTGTGTCTGGCGACCCGTCTGCCTCTGACATCCCGGTCCGTCTCTGCTTTCCGGGTGTAACAACAAAATTGTCCAAATCGTGTAAAAGCAAAATTGTTCATTTGTTAGATTACGGTTTGAATCGTTGTATCTTAGAAATGATTAAAGATATCTTACTGGAATTTTCCGAGGTTTTTACTCTCTACTTTGAGCAATAAGAATGTATAATTTACTCTCCAAGTTTATCAGAAGAGTTGTGATGAAATCGATCATAAACGAAAATGACATGTTCCTTATTAGTTAATCAGAGCTAAGGATTGGAAGCTCATCAAGATTGATTAAAAAATTAAATATATATATATATATATATATATATATATATATATATATATATATATAGATAGATAGATACAACTAGTGAGCCAGACAAACCTACCCAGGTCTCACCCAAACGGATCGTCAGGGAATCAATATATATATATATATATATATATATATATATATATATATATATATATATTATTCCAGGATCATCTTCCAACTTATTCAAGATGATCTACGCACCCCTAATCTTCTAACTTTCTGTCCCAGAGTAAGTAGCAAGATGCCTCGCACATTTCATGTACGATTTCATTTTCAAGTCTTTTTTTCACTGCTCTTTGGACTGTCATAGCTGAAACTCCTCTCTTACGTGCCAAACATCTTATGGACTGAGTTGGATCTTTTCTAATTGATCTCTTTAGTTCTAAGTTGAAACGATGATCCCTCTTCCTGTTGTGACCTCCTGATCAAGTTTTCCCTCTACTATTCCCATCTTTTTTAAACTTATTGACTGTTCTCTTGAGGTTTCTTGAATGAACTTTGAAGAAGGAAGCCAGAGCATAAATGTTGGTATCATTACTGAAGGCCTGAATGATATTTTTCCTCTCACCATTGCTCAGTTGGGAAGACAGTGGGTCTGCCACAAAACGATTTTAACCTCTCCTCTTTCTAGCTGGATAACTCAAATTTTTTTTTTCAGTTATTCTTACGACAAATGGAGTCAATATGGCTAAACGTCTTATCTGAAAACCTGGAAGAAAGAAATTCAATGATCCTTCCGTAGGTTCCCCTACGGAAACCTTGTTACGACTTTTACTTCCTCTAAACGATCGGGTTCGGTCGTCTTCTCCAGGCATCGAACGCCGAGGCGAGTACGACACGCGCGTGAAACGGCGGCGGAGACCGCAGCCGCTGCGCCACGTGCACGCTGCCCGGCGGCGTCGTCGGCCAGATCCGAGGACCTCACCGGATCGTTCGATCGGTAGTAGCGACGGGCGGTGTGTCCAAAGGGCAGGGACGTGATCGACGCGGGCTGTTGACCCGCGCCTACCGGGAATTCCCCGTTCACGGGGTTGGTTACAGGCCTCGATCCCTATCACGGGAGGTGTTTAAGAGGTTTTGTTGTTCTTTTTTAGATATTCAACATTTTTTGGGGTGGACAATTATGCCGGTACACGATTTGGGCAATTTTGCTGTTATACGCGGGATATATTTCCAAGACATCTAACTTTTATCACTCTTTCGTTACGTTTTGTTCGATATAGTTTGGATTGGCAGAATCTTGATTATTTTCTCTTCGAGTTGCATGTTATATCCCAGTGCTACTGTTGGTAAATGTCCTCAAGTGATATCGTTTTTCTAGTTTAGTACAGTTCATTTGCGATTCCATGTGGTTTGAAGAGGACTGATCCTCACTAAAACCCACCTGGTTCCCTCGCTCGTAGCCAATTTAACAGGATTAAGGTCACACCACGTTGAAAATTAAGTAACGTCCAGTCCGGTCAGTACGTAAATGGGTGACCGCTTGGGAATACCAGATGCTGCAAGCTTGGATGTGCGATTTGTGTGATGGATAATTTAATTGTTTATCGGAGCGCCGAGTTCCAATTCCCGTTGAGTTCGTTATATTCATTACGCGCAAAAACCCAAGGGAAATGTATGAATCCACTTCTTCTCCCCTAGCTATGGGTTAATTATGTAAAACTTCTATCACTAAATCCTTATTATCTCCAAAATAACAAAAAAGAATTCTTACGATCTCCAAATATTTTATGGCTTTAAATAACCTGTAAAGGTTTGATAAACCGTAGAACTCGAATCAATCAATTAATAAAATAACACGTTAAACTATTGATATGAGGAAGTGTTTGTATACAGTAGACAATTTAGATACATCTTCAAGAGGCATATATATATATATATATATATATATATATTTTATATATATATATATATATATGGGGATAGTAGTATGTATGTATATATATATATATATATATATATATATACCGAGGGAGGCACCGTCCTATGGGTAAAAGGGAAACTCGTTCCACCACGAAATTTGTGATCGAGCGGAGCTATATCGAGTCTAATTCGTTACCT